GCAATTGACGGTCACGAACAACTGCTAACGAGTCCGAACAGCAACCTGAACAGAGACAAACAGGCCCAGACAGCAAAAGAGCAAACCAAGGAGTATTCTTACGACAAAAGAAAACAAACAAAATATATAAATACAAGAGGAAAAGAATGAGATCACCGGAATTGTCGTCGAAACTTGTTGAGGGAATTTCAGGCTCAGGCCCCATATAATTAAACCCACGAGAATCACAAAGATACTAGTTCCGGGCCATGGCCATTCGAACCACCGGCACTCTAATTTTTATAGCACAAAGCCTCGTGCAATGGGAACCCCCGGAAAACTCACAAGAGGATACACAAACTACCAAACATTTACAAAGAGGAATGTTAGAATAATACACAAAGTATTATTAAAGGGATGAATGGGATTCAACTCTCTGTTCTTACCTCATACTCTCTCAAACTCCTCCCAAGCATTTGATAAAGTTTTTGATTCTCTTAAAAGCGTAAAAGACAAAAAGTTGTGGAGTCGTCAATTGGGTAATTTGCTCTAGTCCATGAGGTTGCTTCCCAAGCACCAACCCAAAATGGTTGGGCCCAAATAAATTAGCCTTTGTGAAAGGCCCAAATAACGGGGCCTTGAGTTGGTGGAAGAAGCCAATCGGTTCTCTGAGCGAAAAAGGGTGAGAAAATCAGCACGACAGAATGTACAGATAAGTGGACAATAACAGAGTCCGGCGCTCAGACAACGGTCAATTTCCGGCCGACAGACGCTACCCGCCGGCAGAACGAAAAACTTGGTGTCAAGATCGAAGCCCCCAAGAGGTAAATTTGTGTTTCTTAATCGTCCAACACCAATTGCTCAAATGGCTAAACTCGAAACCTATTCGGAAATGTTTATTTTGCTGTAGTAAAGCTACAACTGTACTAGCTAAAGGTTTAGAGAGGCTCTTATGAATTGTTGTTCATCGGCAAATTCGATGTCCTCCGCCTGATGATTGATTATTCTTTTAATTTGTGAAATACGTGACGTATTTGTTTTTGGATGTAATTTGTATAAATTGAGAGGTTTTGGCCTCGAGCCTTTTATTTATGTTTACAGGATAATTAATTTTAAAGAATTATATATGCTCCTACAAGAATCTGCTGATAATATGTAAAATTTCAGATTCCATTTTATATATTGTTTTTTGTGATAACAAATTACTCGTACAAAATTATATGTTTGTGTCAACTTTTTGAATGTTGCATCCGCCATCAGGCCTATTGTACAAGCCCGACATTGGGGTTGATATTGTTGCATTGTCAACCCATGCTTCTTAAATGAGTTGAAGAGAAAGGGAAAAGATGGCGAGTGACGACGAAGATTTTGTGTTCTATGGAACGCCAATTGAACGAGAGGAAGAAGTCACAACTCGGAAGAAAAAGGCGATAGCAGGGGCCTCTGGTCAGCTCAGAACCACACTGCCAACTTGGAAACAAGAGGTGATAACGATAAGCTACTTAATGCAGCTTGTTTTCACAGGCTTCCGCCTTTGTTTTGTCAATTGTGTAGTTGATATGCGTTTCTGCTTTATATTTTTTTGGTGAAACCACAAAATTGGGCTAGGTTTTGTTTGTTTGGTTTAATAGTATCCATAGTTTTGAAGTTAGTAGATTTTTATTTCAAGTTGTTGTGGATAGAAGTCGTAGTTTGCGCTCTCCCCCTCTCTCTCGCTCTTCATCCTTATTTTTAGATCGGGAATTGTCCTTGACTTACCATCACAATGTTAGCCTTCCTGATTGTTGTTCTCACGGTGTTCATTAAATAATATAGTGAAGTTAACATAAGTTTGGAGACAGTTGAGTTCAAGTTTTTCTTGTAAACTCACATGTCCTAGTGTGATTTATTTCCTTTTTTCTTCTTTTGGGGTTGTGTTTAGTAGTTAAAGAATTTATGGGTACACATTAAAATTAAGTTTTGTCGCTATATAGTATGTACTATGTATTAAAATGTTCAAAATTTCACTTCATATTTCTGAAGGATGGCAGTTATGACAGCGCCAATCCGGCATGCGGGATTTTAGCCTGCCACCATTTTTGCCATTGATAACACTGGTTTACACCAAAAGAGCATCTTTCTTTCTTGTTTTTTTGTTTAGTCCAATGGCAATGGCACATGGTGAGAACTAGCTCAAGTTTGTCTTTGATGGTCTTATTCCAGGTTACCGATGAAGAAGGGCGGAGGAGGTTTCATGGAGCATTTACTGGTGGCTTCTCTGCCGGTTACTACAATACAGTTGGCTCCAAAGAAGGTGTTTTTCTGTTGCTTTCATTTGAATTACCTACCTACTTTGTTGTGTAAAGTACACTGCAAGTATTAGTGTCGGTTATTAAATTTCAGGATGGACTCCACAAACTTTCACGTCATCTCGGAAGAATAGAGCGGCAGTCAAACAACAGGATATATATAACTTCCTGGATGAGGATGAAAAAGCCGTATGATCTCCATTTGTTCATTTTGCTTTTGCTTTACCAAATAGCTTTCTCTATTGATTTTATGAGAAACATAGATTATGTGAACTGAGTCCTGAATTGTTTATAGTTGTCAGATTGCTAGCTCAGCCAGACAGTTCCACAGTTTAATATGTAGATGATCTTTAGCAGGTTTCTGTTTCTCATTCCATGGGGAGGGGATTCTGAGAAAAAGTTGAATTGTTTTTTCGTTTTTTCTTTTATACGTCGGAAGGATTTCATCTGTATTACAATTTTAATTCTTACCGCATGCACTGGTACATAGCAACTGAAATAAGGTTCAAGTAACTGATACCCAATAAGAATGAAATTTTCTTGAGTTTAGCTGAGCATCAATCATCTTGATGCATCTTATTTTAAATTCCATGTCATTTCACGATATCTAAATAATAATGTATCATTCCAATCTATTCCTGTAACTGGTTGTGGAATTGGGATGTTTTGTTTGATTTGATTTGGTGTTTGGTAACTTGTGTTTACTCTTCTCATAGATGTTTGTGTGATTTTTAAATTTGTGATTCAATTTATAGGAATTAGAAGGGCGCTCTTTGGGGACATCTATGCAGTTTGATACATTCGGATTTACAGCAGCTGAGCTTGCCCGTAAACAAGCTGAAAAGGAACAAAAACAAAGGTTTTTGGTCGTGTTTTATCTTACACGTCTTGTTTCGGTTAGCTCATCTTTTTAACACTGGTTTGTTGAACCTTCAAGAGGAATTAGACTAGAGTCTTAAAACCTAAGACCAAAACATGCAGTTATCATACTCGAGCTACTGCCCTAATGAAAATCATCGAATGCCATCAATTATTGCCCATGTTCCCAAACAAGTAAACCTACTGTAAAGGAACAAAACGGAAAGTGTTTCTGCTCTGCATATCCAGTTTGATTAGTTCATCCTTGGAGACTCGCTCTTACCTTTTTCCTCTTGAAATTTTGGTTTGAAATTCTCTTCATATAGATTGATTCTTACGTGGTAATTCTGTAACATGGTCAAATCATTTTTTCACTCTGTGATTTTCAGTTGGGTAGTAATCAAAGTAAGATAAACGTCTGTCATGGTTTCAGAATGTAGACTCTGGCCTACTTCTTTCTGCATCCTGTTGGACTCAATTTGATTAAACGGAAACCAACATGCCAGATACTCTACTGTTTAGAAATTATCAGATTTTTATTGTGTTATATTCATTTATATTTTCTGCTTTATTTATTACCACTCCTGTAGAGGATTTATTTATGCATAGAAATGATGGTTTGGGCTTGGTCTCCTTGCATGGTTGCATCATTGCCTTCTCCAGTGTCTTTATACTATTCTCTCATGGTTATAAGTTTTGAATTTCCATCATGGTTCTTCTAGTTTCCTTTTTCTTCATTTCCTAAACTTCTCGTTGGATTCATTTTCATACATAAGACCTTTGTCTACTTTATGACTATATGATGGTGTTAAATTGAATCTTATCCTCAAGGAATATGAACCTGTTATTTTGGTATTGGGAATCTATAGCCTGTTACTTTATATATATGCCTTCGATTTCTTCTTTATTTTCCTAACATTTTTATTAATCTATTTTAGGCCTTCCACTGTTCCCGGACTGGTTCCTGATGAACTAATAGTTCCAGTTACAGAATCTATAGGTACGTCATAGGTATTGGTTTTCTGAATATACATTGCGTTTTACGTTGGGATTTCATTCTGATTCTTCATGCTGCCATTGATCAGGTGTCAAATTGTTATTAAAAATGGGTTGGCGGCAGGGCAGGTCGATAAAGGATTCTAACCGGAGTTCAATTTATGGTATGGCATGCAGAACTTGTTTGCTATATTTTTTGTGTTATTCCAGAGTTGTGTTTGTCATTTTATACATTCTCTGGTGCTCAATGTCAATAGTGATCCCATAGCTCTTCCCATTGTTAATGATAATTGAGGCAAGATGAATAAGTTTGTATATCATCTTTCATTTCGTTGGCTGAGCAAGATGATATTTTTCTCTGATCTCTGTGATAATTTGGTCTCCCGAATTCTCTCGTTCTGAGATTCTGTCCTTTTTGTTTTGCCTTCTGGAAAGAGAGAGATGGAGTTCCTGGCATACTTGTGTTTGGCTGTTCTGAACAAATTGGTAGAAGCTATGTCATGGAAACATTAGCATACATATTACATAACCTACAAAGGGCAGGAAAGAAATGAGAGTAGCTTACCCTCTAATAATGATACCACGTGCATTTCTCTTTTGATTTTTATATGTTTCCAGAATTCTCTGCAAATGGTCCTTGATGTCATCTTTGTTTTTGACCCACTAAGCCACGAAGAAGAACAACCATCCTCTATGATTCTGTCATTCTGACCAACTTAGTCATTAAATAAGTATTCTAGATGAGATGCCTGGATGTCCCAGGTTTGTTTCATTGCATAGTCACGAATTGTGCATTTGCTTCTGTATAAAATGAATTCCTTTGCCTCTTCTGTTTTTTATTTTTCTGATTCTGTTGTCAAACAAGTACTATCATACAATGCTGGGCCCTTGATGACTCTGGAAATTCTGCTTACTTTTAGAGAGAGGTCAGACTTCATGGAAGTGCACTCTCATTGATACTGACTTGTGCTTGATGTATGATCATGCTTGGCCATAATATAATACTTAATTGATTTATGTAATTTTTTTGCTTAATATACATATAACTAATAATTATGTTTGATGTTTCAGAAGCAGAAAATTCTGATTATAGCACTATTATTAAGTTTTTTCTGAGCTGGAGATATGATATCCTGGAAATTCTTCTTGTAGACCTTGCTTCATTTCAAGAAACATGGATATTTTGTCGTAGGGTTATAGCTCAGAAAACCATTAAGAAATAATTAAGAGACAATTAATGGCTAAAACCAGCGGAAACATTATTATATAGTATCAGAGATGTAGTTAAGTCACTAGATTAATGGCTATCATTTGATTGATTATGGTATCATGTTATCACTACAGAAAAATGTTGAGATATATGCTTCTTGAACCATCTGCTGATTTTGCATGTATCTTGTTTATCGTTGTCATATAGATGCTCGTAGACAAGCTAGAAAAGCATTTCTTGCATTATCGAACGATGGAGGAAAGAAGATTACTCACTCGAAGCCGGATGAAGAGGATACTGCAGATGTCTCAGATCTGCTGGCTGATGAAGGCAATCGGTTCTCTGAAAGTGTTCCGGTTAGATTCTGCCCTTGATTTATCGAAAAAGTACATTGATTTGTGGTTGCATTTATTTTTGTACTTTAGTGAATAGTCCTGATCCGCATTTACGTTATGACTGTTCTGTGTACTCTACCTCGGTGGCGAGTTAATTAATTTAACTAGTGTGCGTGATGGATTCTTTGGGCCTCAGCTTTCTGGATGAACCTAAAATTATTCTTCTTATGTTTTTAAACATAGTGGAAGTCAAATGTCATGTTGACATTCGAAACCTTTTCTTCTTTCAAACAACGCAATCGAATAAATTCCCTTGAAAGTACCAGTAACTGAAACAGAAGTATGAGACTGAAAAGAAAATCACACAAGGTGAAACTTTCATTTTTTATTTTTTTTGGGAAATTTTTTACAGCAGTGAAGCTTCTGCTCGTTATTTGATCAAGTTAAAGAGGGTACCGTCGTTTCCACTCACTACTTTGTGAATAATGAGAAGAATGAAGTCGAATATTTATTGGTAGTGGTTAGTGGATATAAACTGCAAGATTAAAAGAAAGAATTGTGATGCATCCAAGCGGCATTTCATACGACTTGCAACTCTGGAACTCTGGAATATACAGAATCTGCTGGAAACAGTATAATTTAGTTTCTAAAAGACAATATTACCTTGTGATTTACGCTTCATGTGCTAAATGCTAATGCTCTATGCCAGTAAAGTATTAATGTTTTCATTTGTTACTTCCACCTTCATGTTTAATTATAGTTAGACTAGCCATTAGCAATGTGATGGTACGACACGGGAAGGTGTATTTTTATGTTTGTCATACGATGTTATAGCACATGTTTTTGGAGGGAGGTATAGGGATGTGTACGCTTCTTAGTTTTTCCTGTCACAGTTGGAGGTGTAAAACCTCAATGAGAATGAACATGTTGAATACTAAGACCTAAGTAAATTTCAGTTGCTGTATTTGAATCACTCATGGCCTTCACATATTACACGATGATATCTTCTGCCTTGGACTTGTTTGTTTGATTGTATTAACCTTATGTTTTCTAGGCATATATAATCAACCCAAAGCAAGATTTACATGGCTTAGGCTATGATCCATTCAAGCAAGCTCCAGAGTTTAGGGGTAATCTTAATTTTTATTTCAGATGTCTGCTTCTCTTCGTATTCTTTCCTGTCTTGGTCTGACTTGTTTTCTTTTGTTTAGAAAAGAAAAGACAGAGAATGTCCGCTAAGGGGGATATGGGTACCCGAAACTCTCTTGCCGTTAAAGGTCCGCTAGTTTATTTCTTTTCATTAACTCAATTAGTTAGTGCCAAAAAGACATCTTTCCATTGTTATGAAAGTGTTGCTAGGCCACATGCCATGGTTTTCGTCTCGCTGCTTCTGATGAGTTGCCTTTTGAGTGGCTATAAGCAACTGTTTATGTTGTCATTTTGGCAGTTTTGATTTGTGCTTTTGACTCTCGCTGCTTCATGTAGTGTTTGAAATAGTTTACTATTGTTCAATATGAATATATGATCTATTATCTTTTAGGGCTGATTCTTAGAAAAATCTCGTTGCACTGTTGCTTTGTCTGGCCCTTGCATTTTGGTCCTTTTAGCTTTCAGATGCTAGGCCATGACTTGTCGTCTTGGAATGACGTATTGCATTTGTACTAATATTCATACTCAACAATTTAGGTTAGGCCTCTTCTAATTTCATTACAACATGCACTTACAGGAAAGATTGGTCCTGGCTTTGGTATTGGAGCTCTTGAAGATCTGGATGCTGAAGATGATGATGTGTACGACTCAGGTTAGAATTTTTTCACTAGATTTTCGTATAACAATTGTTTATTCTATTTTCTAAGCTTTGCTTGACTGTTGGTGCTAGTGATTTTCTCAGTTTGTGTGTTCCTTAACAAATTGATTTTTCTTCTTATTATTCTTATTATTTGTTTGTCATTTGAAGCCTATAACCGGTGGCAAGCTTCTATAAGTTTCTGTCTTGTGCTTAAGGTTGCGACCAGTTTACAACTATTTGAGGAACATTTTGTACTCTTTTCCTTCTGAAATGTAGGTCATTAACCCTCCTTTCTGTTGCTTTGGACAGGCTATGATTTTCAAGATACATATGTGCAAGAAATAGAAGAACCTTCCCAAACAAATATGGATACTCTGCGGATATTAGATAGAAAGAAACCTGATGTTCTGACTGGTTTCAAAGCTGCATCGCATTCTGACCGTATACTGGAGAGGTGCTTATTTATCCAAAATCTCCTACTGAAGTAGAAGCCTTTATATCAAATGGCTGTCTTGATTTTCTAAAGTAAATAATGACTAGTATAACACCCGTGTATTACACGGGTATGTGCTTGCTAATTTTTTCTTAAAGTCTAAAATTAATGAGAAAAAGTAGTTGAAAATTTAAATACTTTTTAAAAATATATATATATATATATATATATATATATATATATA